AGTCCTTAACTCTAGATGATGACTTTGGTATTACAAGGAATCTACATAAAAACCAAAATGCATAATCCAAGACCCATTCAAGACACATAAGCAGATTATGTATTTTCGTCCTTGAAAATACATCATCTAATCTTGGAAAGGATTAATTAAACTAAAACAAAGACAAATCAAATTAAGAAAAAATCACCTACGAATACATCATCACTTTAAAGCCACTTCATCATGCCACAAGCGCTGTTTTCATTCACGAATTAAAAAAAAAAAACACAAGATCGATTAAATTTTCAAATTATCACGAACAATAAACGAATGATTGAGATTATGAAGATAGAAAGATATATAGAGAAAAACAACAAAAACGTCTTAGGATATATTTTTTCTCTTTCCGCCACCAAGATTTGGTGATAAAGCTCTCTCACCTATCGATAAAACATATGGATCACGAGCTCTGCAAAAATTTCAAGCTTTTTGTCAAGTGCCATCGATAAAAGAACGCCGAATTTAAACCCTAACAACAAATAAAGAAACTTACAGAAAAAGTGTCAATGGCTTGGAAACGGTTTCTTTCCGAGCAAGTTTTACATCCGACATTAACCTCTAATGAGCGCTGCAAAAGAAGAGAGATGGTGAAAGAAAAACATATGATATACAAACATCTAATGATCATCGCCATGGTTTTGGAAGTGGAAAAATATGAGATTAGGGTTTTGCGTGAAGAAAAATAGATGCGGCCGATTATGAATGCTTGAGGCCAAAGCCTAAGTAGAGTATTATATATTTATAGATGTTATATGGTTAATGGCCGACATATATATTGTTATGGACCATGAAAAAGCTATGGGTCTATACTAATTATTTTGGCCTAATAACAACTCGATGGCATACGATTGTAATTATATGATTCATTAAAGGTATTTTCGGTAGACCAAGTTTTAAACTCACCGTAAAGCTGCCACGTAGGATTTGCGACTTTGTATTTATAAGTATAGATAGATAATTATAAAATAGGAAACCATTTGATTACATAACTTGATTTCAAGGTCCTAGCCCTTTTTGCTAAAGCATCTACCTCTTGAACTACCTCTCTAGAAACCCATTCAAAAGAGAAACCAAGATCCACACAAGCCATCCTCTTAATATCCTCACAATAAGTGAAAGCTTCCTGGTTTCTTCCATTTTGCTCATCCCTCAAACTCTTTCTTAAGGCATTACATAAAACCATTCAGTCGGCAAAGAAGGTCACATTCATGTAACCATGCCGCTTAACTTGTTGAACTGCGTCCCGCAATGCAAAAGCCTCTGCTTGTAAGGGACTTGCAATTGGCTCTATAGACGGGTGAACCTTGCATAATAACTCTTCCACATTGATCCATTAGCATCCAACCTATCCCTGCCTTCTCCTTGTCTGACCCCAAGAACTATCTACAAAACAACACCAACCATTAGCCAATCTAATGATCTCCTCCATCGATTTCGGCTTATTAGACTTCCGCTTTTGAACTACTTCCTATCCCTGTCGTTCATCTTCCTTTTTTTGCGCCTCAATTCATTGTTGATAGTCAACTATAGCCCTATGGATTATATGCGGTATTAGTTCTCTCTTCCC